AATTGGGCCAAACTTGGCACACAGCTCTCCCATGACCAACATAAAATACTGGAAGGGTTTGGGAGTGGGGGGAGTGTCCTTTGGTTTTGGAGTTGTAGTTCACCAACATCCAGACATCACTGTGGACTCAAACAATGATGGATCTGGACCAAACTACACGAATACTCAATATGCCCAAATGTGAACACTGGTGGAGTTTGAGAAAAATAGAATCTTGACATTTGGGAGTTGTAGTTGCTGGGATTTATAGTTCACCTACAATCACAGAGCATTCTGAATCTCATCAATGATAGAATTGGGCCAAACCTCCCACACAGAACCCCCATGTGGGCCACAGCAACGCATGTCCCACATAGTTTAGTCTATTCTAAAAGGTACCTTGGCCCAGACCTTGCCAGATAAGTATGCATTAGAGTAGATGACAGATGGATAAGCTAGTTGGTCTAACCTGTGCTGAGGCTTTTTAAATACTTCTTCTGTACATCATGTTATTTTTCAGTTGCTTAGCTGAAGTGAACCACTGGCTGTCAGAATGGATAATATTGGGCTGGGTTGGCTGATGAACATGTGTTGTTGTTGTTGTTGTTGTTGTTGTTGTTGTTGTTGTTGTTGGACTCTACCATTAAATTCAGTCTGCTGTGGTTAATAGTGGGGGGTGATTGAATTAATCATTTAGCATCGCCTTGAAATCTAGTTGTTTCCCAAGTCTGTCCTAGATTTCATTTTTTCGTGTGAGGAGCGACTTGAAAAACTGCAAGTCACTTCTGATGTGGGAGAATTGGCTGTCTGCAAGGACGTTGCCTAGGGGATGCCCGGATGTTTTACCATCCTGTGGGAGGCTTCTCTCATGTCCCCGCAAGGGAAGCTGGAACTGGCAGACAGGAGCTCACCCTGTTCCCTGAATTTACATTGATAACCTTTTGGTCAGCAGTCCTGCCGGCACATTGCACCACCTGGGCTTCCTGTGCTAGGTAGATAATTATTAGACCCAGTATAAATCTTATGGCAAATGCCGATAGCTTATTTGAACTTGTTTGAATAGTTCTAACTTTCATAACATATGACATAGTATTTCCTGATCAAGGAGGTTCACATATTCGGTTGCAAGTCCTTGAGTGATGGACGCATATGCAACACATCTGAAAAATATTACCTACTGGAACTGATCCAGTTGGTGTTATTAAGTATTTGGGATCTTGGGTTCCACAGATATTTTCACATTCAAGATTTAAAAAACCTAACTTGTCATCCAGCTGCATTTTGGGCTGACTTACAAATACAAATATTTTGGTTTAGTTTGGATAGTGATCTAATCCTCAGTACATCAAGCATATTATACCACTGGCCTCTGCAAGGGTCTGTACTGTTGAAACGACCTAAGGATCAAATAACTAAGTTCATCCCATTCAGTTTTTTTTACTTTAAACAAATAATAGTTCAGCTACCACTCAAAATTAAAAGTTGTGATTACTTTCTCCTGCAATGTAGCTAAAAATAAGAGCTGATTTGAAATTTCATTTTGGGGTGAATCTCACAGAATATCAGTGACTATCTACTGCAGTGGACTCAATCAGACTGTGACAGTCTGATTTTTTCTTTTATGGTAAAGCTGAAGATTATTTCAGAAGAAGGAACTAGGAAAACCATCTCTGAGAATTCATTGCCCAAAACAACCCTGTTGGGCACTGCATAACGTTGGATTGTCTCTATTCCTGCCTCCGTGGCTTGCTCTTATCCAGAAAGGAAGGTCTTCAATCCAGAGGATAGCAGTGTCAATAAAACATAACATGGAGATGCAAATGAAATTGATAGAAATATCAGAATTGAAAAGTAATGAAAACACCTGAGGTACATACAGTTGAATCCTTAAGCAAACTCTAAGGCTTATCAAGAACTATGCCAGATACTTTTTTAGTAGAAGGAATGTTCAAATGCATCTGATGAAGAAAAAAGCAGCAAAGGATAGGAATTATGGTCTCAAAAGTTGAAAGGAAGACTGAAACAAGATCCATTTAAAGTGTTTAGTTAGAAGTGTCTAGTCCACTTTCCAGTGTTGACTTTGAAAACACGTAGGAAACATTAAATGCCACCAAGACACAGTACATAAAAAACCCGAACAAAAACAAAAGCCAAGAATGCACATTAAAAACTAACCACAGATTGAAAGCAGCACAGAAAAAAATGTTGCCAAACATGTGGTGAAACACAAGATCTTGTCTTGCCTTGGGAAAAGACAACAGAACACTAAGCCATGTGAGCTTCGAGATGTGTGTATGAACAACATTGCAGTTTGAGGAGCAGTAACAAAGAAGACCTTGCACATCAGAAATCAATGTTATTTTAGAATTTGCAACACCATGCAACGCCTCACCACAAGCTGTGAGGAGAGGCAGGTAATAAATAAACTATATTATTATCATTGCAATGTTTTGCTGGACTTCATTGCAAGGTCACATCAAAGATTATTAGTGCCAAGGCTATTCATATTAAAGGCAATTTATATTTTTTATTTACGGTATATCTATCCCGCCTTTCTCAGCCCGAAGGCAACTCTAGATGGCTTACAATTTTATGCTACAACAGTCATAAAATACAGTTGAAAACATATAGCACAACATTATAAAAATTCATACAAAAAACCATTAAAAACAGTGTCTTCCTGTTAAACTCATTTTTCCAGTAGCATCGTCCATGTTCACTCTTTCTTTTTTATACCTTGCTTTTATTTGTAAGAACTCGTCATAGCTAACAGGAGTGTAATGTTTGTGTCTAGCTATCATTAACACTATGGCCCTGTTCAATTCAATGAGTAGACGTGCATTGAATTGCATTATTAAAATCAGGAGTAGGTGAAGTGTAGGCCAACAGATACTGTAAGATTGAAACTTCTATCAGTGTGAGCAATTTTGAGGAGTTGCAGTTGAATTCTGGCAATCTATTTTTTGGTTACATCAATTTAGCTCTTTAAAGGTTCAAACTAACATTGAATTTTGCCCAGAAATGAACTGGTAGCCCAGGTAGGTGAAATCTGAGTATGCTAACTCCAATCTGATATTGGTGGAGCATCTAAAGCAGTGGTTCTCAACCTGTGGGTCCCCAGGTGTTTTGGCCTTTAACTCCCAGAAATACTATCAGCTGGTAAACTGGCTGGGATTTCTGGGAGTTGTAGGCCAAAACACCTGGGGACCCACAGGTTGAGAACCACTGATCTAAAGGCTAAGATTTCTAGCCACCGATGATGGCAACACTTTGTTCTGTTTTGTTGATAGGAGCAGCTGTATGATCAAAGAAGTACAACAACTCTGGCTAAAGCTGTATACAAGATATCTTCACTGGACATTTCCATTTCTTCATATCTGGAAAATTAAATCAAAAGTTATGATACTAACTTCTTGTGTATACCATAGGACGACTGACGTTTTTTATTTGCTAAGTGTAGTTAAAGATTAAGGCAAACAAATCTTCCCCTGCATACTTTTGGCTTCCATTTCTCACATTCTCAGAGCTATAGCCAGCTGAGGTCAGCATTTGGCTTGTGTTTCAAACTAAGAAAGAATGAGTAAGAGATAGGTGCTCTAAACTGAATAAATAAAGTAGAAACGTTGCATTTTATTGTTGGATTGATTACTCCTTCAAAGTACTTAGGGGTTTTTGTCTGTTTTCATTCCTACTCTGAATTCTGTTATATCTAATAAAATTCAGTACTTATCTCATGGTCATCTGGATTTCTGATTTTGTCCCATGTGTTTGTTTGACTAGCTTTTAATGGCCAAATCCAAAGGTTAGTCTATATATGTATGTATTGTTTATTTAAACTGAGAATTGCCTTGGTGAATAATGTCAAGATTGATCTAAGGGTGTATCTACATTGTATAATTGATGCAACACCACTTTAGCTGCCATAGCTCAGCTGTAGAATCCTGGAAGCTGTAGTTTCATGGGAAAGGCTAAAGAACTTGTAAAACTACAGCTCCCATTTATTTATCATATCAGAAGTGAACCAATAGTACAGGTGTATTGTATTTTTTTTTTAAAAAAAGCTTAAAATCTTAGCATTATATTATATGTTCTTGGAATGGATCTGGTGTTGCTATAAAAAGGTCCTCCATTGTGTCAAGGCTCAGGCTGCATTGTAATAGGTGGCCTATGGTTTGCTCTTCTCCATACTCTGATATTGTGGATTCCACTTTGTGGCCCATTTCTTAAGGTTGGCTCTGCATCTCTTGGTGCCGGAGTGCAGTCTGTTCAGTGCCTTCCAAGTTGCCCAGTCTTCTGTGTGCCCAGGGTTACAACTCCCATGATTCCATAGCATTGGGCCATGGCAGTTAAAATGTTGTCAAACTGTATTAATTCTACAATGCATATGCACCCCAGGTTTCCCATAGCAGCTGGTGGGATGGCTGAATGCTTTTTGAGAACCTCCCCAAACAGAGTCGACTTTGTATTTATCCCAAGCACCAATCATTTCAAGCATCTTCTTCCTTGCAGAAATGAACATGTACAGAAACATATGGATAAACATTATGTTCTGTACATGCTAACAGTGAATTTTGTTCTCTGAGTATGGCTCTTTATGATACCCGAAACAGTACCATCAACACCTGAGAGGGAAGGTTTCACTTTGTGAACCTAGATTTGGAGAAGTGGGGGAAAAGGCTATTTAGACATACATATTATTACAATCATAGCATGGACTCTGCAAATTCATTGTTGACAGAATGCAAATTATCAGGACAGAAAACTGGAGGAAGCGGTATCTAGCAAAAGGCACGGTTAGAACTTTGTTTTGAAGGATATCACTTTAAATGATTTCATTGCAGTTCCTGGCATATGATTTTTATGTGTGTGTGAACGTGCTGCGTGGAGACATTTCAGAGTCAATAATCTTTTACTGAAACCCTTGGGATCCAGATTGTTGTATTTTAAAATTCAAATGAAAATGTCATTATAACAGTTGAACTGTTATCCTGAAATGATCGTCATTTTGTGTTTTATTTCAGCCACGAAGATTTTGAATTCATTTCAGGAACTCGCATGCGCAAACTGGCCCGAGATGGGCAAAATCCTCCTGAGGGTTTCATGGCTCCTAAGGCATGGACTGTGCTGACAGAGTACTACAAATCCTTGGAAAAAGCTTAGGCTTCTTATTAATTGAGGATCAACTTTTGACGTTTGATTTATTAACAAGAAGAGGGACCACACAGCTACCGATGGGCAAAGCTTTCCTGTAGTGTCTGTCAGGATGCTGTTCCCTTAAAAAATCCAGACCCTTTTCTCCTTAACTATGGCATTTTTCTGTTTCTCTTATGGGTTCTGTTACATATTGGCACCTAACAAATGGCTGCTTTTAGTGTTTTCTCTTTTATTATGTTTAATATCCTTGTGAAAATATGTTTTGTTTAATCTTGTGCTTTTTTAAATATTATTTTTATGCCTCTGTACCCTTCAGTTTTCAGTGCTCCTGCATCTTTTTAGTTATTTTCTCTCACATTATTTAATGTAACTTCTGTTTTGTATTGTTTTCCTCTTTCATAGTTTGAAGGACAAATACTGCGATCTGATTATATGAGATAGAAATAGGTGCTAAATCAAATCAAAATTAAATAACTTTTTAGAATAATCCACTTTTCTGTCAATGGTCTTTGAAACTCTTGTAAGGAATCTCTAAAATATGCTTCGGTGTGCTACAAATTAAACTTCTTTATTGAATGCATGTTTTGTTTGTATAGTTTCTTACTTACTTAGGTGATCCCTTGTTGACTGAGTAGGATGGCCTTCCAAGAGTTTTATTTTTCTTGGAAGACGCCTATGTGTGATTTTTTTTAATGTGTGGAGGTCGGTGCATAACCAATCAACACACAGACTTTACAGAGCAAGGGACCTAACCAGTGGCATGGTTAGCATGAAGATGGTGGCTTCTCAATCTGTTGTCGCCTTCTTCCGCCTTCACAGCCATTGCAACGTGTGCCATGTTGTCTTCTGCCTGATCTGCCATTGAGGTCTTCAGATTGTGCTTGGTCTGGAACCTCTCCTGCGTCCCCTTCTGGGAGTACATGACTCCTACGGTTGCACCTGCAAGTTCATTGGAACATACAAGTCTCCTCACCACGACAAGATGACAATCCACAGAGTTTATTGGAATAGCATAAAGAGGTATAGAACTGCAACAAAACTTTTTTCTTCGTCACTTCTCAAGAATTATAACATTTTCAATTACTTTCACTGTGATTTTTTAAAAAACAAACTTTTTGTGTAAATAGGAAAAAAATCATTTTGTTTCCTAACCCTATTTCTTGACACAATGTTGAAATTCCTGTATTGTTGAAATGCAGATAGTATCACATCCTCCAGTGTATACCTTGTCGTTGCTTGTAAGAGTTCAGAGTAGCTAATAAGATGTTATGTCTATGTCTTGCTTTCACTTAGGCTCCAACTACACTGCAATATAAAATCCAGATTATCTGCTTTGAACTGGATAATATGGCAATGTAGACTCATATAATCCAGTTCAAATCAGATAATCTGAATTATCTGCTTTAATTATCTGGATTATATCGTAAATCCAGCCTTAGATTACAATCCTGACAGGCATAAAATTAAATCATTACTTTTCTGGAATGGAAAAAGCTATGAAAAATCTATGTCGTCTGCTTCAACACGCAAACAATTATAGAAACCTCTTGAATTAACATTTCAAACTCTTCGGCATTCTTTAACATACCCTTGATTGACAACAAATTCTGTCTTCTTACTAGGCACTACTTGGGTGCTATCAATTTTATGTGCGAAATATGTAGTCAAGTAATGGGGTGTTTTAGTTGGTGGAATGCTACAATTATTGAAGGATATGGAAGGTTCAGAACACACACCTGCCAAAGAAGCAAGACTTTCTTTCTGGCATTTGCAAGTAGCCCTTTGAAGGAAAAAGGAAATAATTGAATTTTGGACAGCAGTTGTCAGTTGGTGCAGAAAAAACATTGAGCTGAATTTGTTAAAAAGCCATATTTTGTGTTCTGAAGTTAGGATAATTTAATTTGACTTCAATAAAAAGCATGTGTAGTACTTGTAGATTCAATTTTGAAAGGCGAAGTAAGACAAACATCAGTACTAAGGAAGGGGCAAACAGGCAACAAAAAACTTTTGTCCAAGAATTTGTTCTTTTCACTATTAAATTACAGCAGATTTTTTGCAATGCAGGAACCTTCAATAAGAAGAGGGCTAATTGCAGTCTTTAGATAATGAACTGCAACTCCCATTATTCCTCATTATTGGCTATGCTAGATCAGACTAATGGGAATTGTAGTCCACTAATTGGAGGATTTACTTTGCCCACCCTTCCCTTAAATTGTGGGTAGAACTAGAATGGTCAGACAGAACAATTTTTCTACTTTGCTTGGAGCACAATATCTTTAACTTTTTGCAGTATATAACAATTCGTCTAAAAGGTCTTTTTTCCTCTAGAATCATTATAAATCTTTTCAAATAAAAGATTTGGGTCACTAACTTCAAGCTTTGGTACCAAATTCACAGAAGTTTTATTTTTTACTGGTGCATGGCCGTTTCCAATATACTGAAATTTCCCCTTCTAAATCGTACACAAGAGGACCATATGTCTGTTTTAATCCTACTGTAACCTTCGAACTTTTATTTGTCCCTATCAAAAGTCATTCTGACACATGAAGCAAAGTTGTTTCGAGGGAGAAAGAGTAATAAAAGAACCTCCTGTTAGTTTTGAAGCCTCCTAAAAAAGGAAAGGTTGAAGCGTTGCTCTCCTTTCTTTCAAAACTGAAGTTAATGAGGTGGACGGAGTTTACTAAATCTTGGGTTGAAGAGTTAAATAAGTGCTATAAAACCATTACAGTTCATCATTGAGAGATCTATTCCAGATGATACTTTCTTCTCAAACCTACTTTAAGTGATGTCAGTTATTCTTCTGGGGTCAACAAAAAAGCAAAAGGACAGGCCTGTGCCATTTTGCAAGATGGAGGCTCCAAGCGGTTTATTTTTACAGCTACATAAATTCCCATTCAAAATCTGAGGTCCTGAACTTGGATAGAAAAGTTGCTCGCTTAATGAAGATTAAGGATCCTGGGCTTGAAATTGGGATGCTCCGTTAGAGATCTTAAACCCTGGATTGTTCGGTAAGTACTACCAGACGGGAAACTGTTACAGAAAACTATTAAAGGAAAACCCTGGAGCCAGCCCAAATGTCTATGATACAAATAATACCACCTATAAAAATCAGTCAAGAGAAACTATACTAGATGTCTTTGTAGGTTTCAGTCTTGCCATTTTTTATTTTCTTGGGGAATTGCAAAAAAAATTAATTTCAGTCCTATGATCTGACTTTTTACAAGAAAATTATATCACAAAAGTACATCTTATAAGCAACTGAGGTAAGCAAATATGCTTTTAGAGGAGTGGTTCCCAACTTTTTTTTTAATGAGGGACCACTTGACCACTCTCCAACATTAGAACCAAAAGGGTTACAAATCAGTTTTTGGTCAACTTTAGAGTTGGTTTGGTTATTTGGAGTGCTGACTCAGAAAATTGCATTGAATAGACCACATCAGCTCTATTTTCTGCTGCAGAACATATGCCATCTAGTAGTCACCATCTGCTCACCCACCCACAGAATACCATATTTAATAATAACCTAGAGCTGATGTGGTCTATCCAATGCAATATTTTTGAATCAGCGCCCCAAATAACACCAAGAACGGGCCTAAAAAGAAAACAACAAAGCACCCCTGCTCCTAGGAATGGCCCCACTTGGGGAGGGAGGGAGAAGAAGCAGCAGTCAGGAGGCTTGCTGCACCTTTTGTGGGTAATCATCCTCTCCCCTCCCGACACCCCTTTGCCTCAGCACTATAAGAGGGTTTCACTTTCGTTGCAATGGAGTAGTAACGGTGAGGCTGCGGACCATATTTTAGTTCTTGCGGACTACTGGTTGTCACCGGTTGGGAACCACTGTTTTAGAGCAAAACCCCCCAAAAAGGCAATATTACAACTTTTTGCATGATGTTGATGATGTTGAAAACAGACTTGTAGACCAACTTTTGTGTTTTTCAATATTAAACCCTGTGTTGGTGTGTGAGAGATTTACATCATCAAGCAAAAAGGTAAAATGCAAAATAGTGGTTAAAAAGAATAAGCCAATTACATGTATTTCCACCCCTACCCCAAGAGGTTTGCATGAGAGCCAGTGTGGTATAGTAGTTTGCGTTTTAGACTAGAATTTTGGGAGACCTGAATTGTGTACATACACCATTGGAAAACATTGTTCGGTGTGAGATGGTATAGAGGTTATTTCCTTCAAACTCTATGTAGTTCATTCACAATGCTAATCAATAACTGTAGCTTCAGTTCAATTTTCAAATCATTCTAAAAATGCTCTTAAATGAGAAAGATGGAGTTAATCAGAGACAATATATGGGGACATTAACAACTTCTGAAAGCACACTTCCTTGAGATTAAGCCCAGTGGAGACTTACATCAGAGTAAGTAAGGTGTTGTGCTGTCAAGCATTTTTACTGAGAAGTCTTAAGCAGCAGTGATGGACAACTTGTGCTTCCTTCAAATAGCACAGAGCACCATTTACATCCAGGGTTCACATCCCTGCTCAGATAAGGAAATCCATTGGATGACTGGGTAAGTCTCTCATAGTCTATGAGGAAGAAGATAGAAATGCTCCTCTAAACAAATATTTTCAAGAAAACCACAGGATATGGTCACTAGAACTTGGAATCAGATGCAAAAAACAGTAATATAATCTTGTGCTGTGCCCACAAGAAAGTAGCTTGTCTTAGCAATCATCGTTTGTGATGGAGACTAATTAAAATAAGGCTCTAGAGATTAAGACAGAGATGAAAAACAGTGTCTCTGAGAAAATCTGTGTTGGAACCAACTAACATCCCTGTCATTCGATACCTAATGCCAAAATATGTACTTTTTTACACTCACAAGCACAAAACTATTGGCAATAGACTATTGGACAGGGGGTTGGGCATACCATCCTCCCTTCATTTTTAAAGATGTCTTTTGAGGAAACTAGTTGCAAAGCAGAGGATGGATGGTTTTATATGGACCATTCCTACATGTATATCAAGAGCTCTGCATGGTGTGGCTTGAGGATTGTCTTACAATTCTGGGGAGAAGGGTTCAATTTCCCCTTGACTATGGGAACCCACTGGGTGACCATGGTTAAATCACATGCTCTCAGTCCTGGAAAACCCCATGATAAGGTCTCCTTAAGGTCGCCATAATTCAGACATGACTTGAAGTCACACCATAACAAATATGTATTCTGTGGAAAATGCTGTTCCTTCCCAACTCCTCATTGTGCATAATTTGGGGAAAGGGAAGGGAGGGACCATGGAAAAAGGGCAATAGGTGAGCCACATTAATTCCTATAACTCATTCTTTTGCAAATTCCATATTTTCACTGCATGAATGGAGTAAATAGAGAGCAGTGGAGGGAGAAAATTTAGTTCCTCAACAAACAATCATGGGATTTAGAATCACATCTGCAACTCCTAAAAGGCAAAAAAGTCCCCCAAGTCTAAATTACTGAGTTCACCCCCTCCCCAATAAAATTCAATGATGCTTGGCTACAATCAAAGGGCCCTGTTATCCAAATTGCTTACTTTAAAGCTCATTGTGGTGAAGTAACTACACAATATTCTTTACCATCCATGAGTAAATACATCCCAG